ATCTTTTAACCATTAGAGATCAACCATCAAATTACTTCAACAAGTAGAAATAGCAACACCGCTCCCAAACAGCGATGCCTGCATTGCTAGACACTTATCTAGTTGGTAGATTTATACCATTGTTCATTCTTAGTTCCTTAAATGTAAAAAAATACCCACAGAATGGTGGCATACCTCTAAATTAGTTTAAATATGGCACAAAGTTATTTTTAGTTAGGTTCAAGTTTTAAAAAGACACTAATCATTCTTTTCAAAGGCTAATCTACTCAAGTTCCTCCCATATTAAAAAAATAAAAAGCTTAACTTGTCCCCTTTGGAAAGAAGAAATGTTATTTATGTAACACTCAAGCAAAAGGAGATTGGAATAATAGGATAATAGACCTGACATCAAATCAGGGTCAGGGTCATACCTATTGTTAATAAAAATAAGTTTGACATTTATCCTAATCTTTTCAGACACTAGCATGGTAAAATGTCATTTATGTGTACTTTCAAATGTAATTCTTATTTTAAAAGAAAACACACAAAAACTCTACTTCTGTACAAAGTACAAAGGAAGAAAACTACCATATACCTTAGAAACTGGTTCTTATTCATGAAAAAAAAATACAAGAAACATTCATGTAACATTTATTTGAGACCTAGTATTTATTTGATTCCCTCCTTGTATGCTAGAAAGATGCAAAGACAAACACTTCCAACTATTCAGACAGATCATTCCACAGTTGTAACTTTCATCATAGTTCTCAAAGCAGTCTGGTGAGGTCAGCTCACAAACAGCTTAAGGAGTAAAACTAGAAATTGGTGGTAGTAGTATCAGGCTACATAACAGCCTCTCCAAAGAATATGAAGTAACAGAACTAAAATGTGCTGGCAACATGCCAAGAGACTGGACGGAATATAGCTTTGAGCAACAAACACCCAGAGCTTACAGTATACAGCAATTCATCATTTCTTACCCTGCAGTTTGATTTTCCTTGTTTTAAGTCCAAAATAGCCAAATATAACAGGTATTTAACTCTACCAATTCTCCATATTTGTAACTTGAAAGGCACTGGGCTTGCAATGATTTGGTAAACTAAATACATACCCTAAAAAGAAAAATGACTTTCATCCTATGTGAAGATGAGGAAGGTAAAATAGATGATTATATAGATACTGTTCTGCATAGAATAGCCTTTATCTCTAAGCGTTATACGGCCCTCAGTTTAGTTTCAAAGGCTTGGATTTTTCTATAGTGTCAGTTCTGACTATCTCTGCAACTGGTTGGTATTTAGAATTAGTCAACCTTCTTAACAATTTAATAAAGAATTAATCCTGTCAGATTAAATGACATAATTTTGGTCCAAATTCCAGACATTAGTCAAAATATGTTACTTTTATAATTTCATCTTTATTGAATCATAATATTAAAATAATAACAAAATCTAATCCTAAGTCTGTAACTTTCTAAACACATATTCTAAAAAGCTGAAAGAAAATGCAGTTATTTTAGGCAAAAGAAAGAATAGTATTCAACTCAAATCAACACACATTTAACATCTATTTTGTGCCAGACATTATGCTGAGAACTAACGAAACAAAGATAAATATGTATGTACATCGTCTCACAGAACTGACAATCTAGTTGGGGAAACTGACCCGCTTAAAAATCAATCAGACCAGCCGGTGTAGCTCAGTGGTTGAGCATCCACCTATGAACCAGGAAGTCACAGTTCGATTCCCAGTTAGGGCACATGCCAGGGCTGCAGGTTCAATCCCCTTTAGAGGGTGTGCAGGAAACAGTCAATCGATTATCTTTCTCTCATCACTGATATTTCTATCTCTCTCCCTCTCCCTTTCTCTCTGAAATCAATAAAAAACAATCAGCCCAGTGGGTGTAGCTCAGTGGTTGAGCAGTCAACCCATGTACCAAAAGGTGGCTGATTCGATTCCCTGTCAGGGCACATACCCAGATAGTGAGCTCACTTCTCTCTCATCGATGTTCCTATCGCTCTCTCCCTCCCCTTTCCTTGCTCTCTAAAATCAATAAAAACATTTTTTTAAATCAATCAATAAAATAAATCTCAATCTCTCTCTCATTCTGTGTATGTGTGTGTGTGTGTGTGTGTGTGTGTGTGTGTGTGTTCTAGTAGCTACAGAAACAAAAACCCTGGCACCACCCCAGATATGTAATTAAGTCTGCCATAAAGGACAAAATCTTCAGAAAACACAAGCTCTGTCTTAAAGGATGAGAATTTCACAAGGGAAAGTCGAATATCGCAGGCCAAGGACAGAATGAGCAAAAGCAAGAAATCACAAAGCATGGCATGTGTGAGGGAGCCCATGTGACAAGGCTAAGAACAACAATTTCTGATTCACGTGCTACTACATGGCAGGCATCACTAATCAATCAAAACATGTTTAAAGTCTATATGAGACTTAAACTCCTTCTCAACAGATAACCCAAAACCAATGGAAGGAACAAGTCCATGCGATGAAATTTACGAGCTATCCTGAGTCTGGGAATAGAAATGGTGGGACTTGAGACTGGAAGGACAAATAAAGGACAGATTATGAATGACTATGATGCCAGGCTAAGGAGTTTAAATTTTATCCTGTGGACAACAGAGGCTGAACAAAGGATTTTATGAAGAATATTGACATGATCAACTCTGGAAGATGTGTAAACAATGCATTTGGACAGATAGAATAAAGGCATAAAGAACAGTTACTATGCTATTGCAATCGTCTAGGAAAGATTTAATGAGGCCTGAATTTCAGCAATGGCAAAAATCTACTGCAGGTTCTAAAACAAAAAAAATGGAGTGTTTAGATTTTATAATCCATGGTTTTAAAGCAAGAATTTGAGAAAAATTAGTATTCTATTTAGAATTCCCAAATAATACTCAAAAAGGAAAAGATAAGACAACGTAAGGTAAAGACTAGAATTAAAGAAGTGAATCACAATGATACTCAAGATTACCCAAGACTATAAATTCAGAAATAGATATTTCAGGTTTAGCATCAAGAAAGAGAACGTCCTCATGACCAGACTAATACTCAGCAAGTCTTTTCTTCCTGAGGGCACTAATATTCTAGCCAAGCAACAAACACTACTCACCTTACATGCCCCTACAATGCGGGGTCAAATGCACAGTCCCAGTGAGATGCAGAAAGCACAGAAGTCAAATTTAAAACCAAAGTCTGAAACCATATAGGAGTTCCACTTTAGCCAAACATTTAAAACTACATATTTCTTTTTAAAAACATAAATAATACGAAACAAATCTTCTGGAAATATTACTGTCCTACCATTAACTAATTCATCTCCCAGCCTTTAAACTCTAAGATTCTTTATGTGGAATGCAATCTATTTGTAGCACTTTGGGCAGTATGCAAAAAAGAAAAAAGCAACACTCCTATCACTTCTGCAGAATGTTTAATAGATGAAATTATTCTAATTAAAAATAAAAGCTTCATTGTAACTCAAAGGCCAAAGATAGTCAAAGAGTTTTTCTATTTTGGAAAAAGATTCTTTAGCTGTTGCAAACAGGCTAATGTAGTGATGTGAAATCCAAGGACAACATGTTAACAACCATGCTAGAAAAGCTAGCATTACTGTTTTAAGACCTAAGGATATTCACATTAAGGATAAAATTATCCTGTCATGAATGCCAACAATTCACTTCATACTACACAGACACATATTCAAGGGCACTACTTTGTTTTCAACCCAATTCTTTTTGTGTCCCAGTAATGAACTCTCAAACTGGGATTCTCATCCTCCTAAAATAAGCTAAAATGAAAAATATGAACTCCGGAGACAAAATTTATTTGTGGTATACTGTTTATTCTGATCAAGCAAATCTAATGAACACTTTATCATAATCTATCTCTTTTCCAGAAAGATATGGATTAGCTAGTCAGGAGCAGGGTCTACTTCTCATGATGTCATTCCAAAGCCATTGCTAAATGTTACACATGTTATGTATGCTTCCTTCAAATCAATCACAAAATAAGTCATCCCAAGACTGAGGTCAAATTCCATTCCAACCAAAAGCTCTCCAAACTTAAAGTAATGGTCCACTTACTAGGTAATAGTCAAAGACTAAATTCCAGAAGAACCCTCCTCCTGCATCTCAACCCCCTCCCCCAAACCATGCCTCTCCTTTTAGCTCATTGTAATGGAATGTGACCTGTAGTTAAGGGCTTTTCCATTCCTTACTTACTACTACTCAGAGAACAAATCTGCTCTGTCTCATAAAGGTAATATATGTTTTAAAAGAAAAAAGTGAAGTGCTATTAGATGTTAATCACATAACAATTAGAACAAACAAAACATAAACTGGTTTACTAGATTTCTCATGTATGACAGTTAGAACAAGTGTATATACTAGTAAATGACAACTGAATATTTAACTTAATATTTTTATTTTAGGACATTGGTCAGACATCTAAAAATGATTTGTATGACTCCTCACAAATGAGGTAGGGAAGGAGAAGTTAAAACTACAACTATTTAAATAAATCTTCACACATAAAATTACTATGAACATCTTTTCATGACAAATCATATTTTTAACATTGAAGTTATACACTTTTAAGCATTCAACGTAGAGAGAGGAGGGGAATATTTAAGAAATGTACTTCAAAGTCTAAAATTAAACACATCTGGCCCCGTCTTCTCCCTCCCCTCCCCCAGGCAGAGTAGCTTTACCTTTCTCTCTTCTAAGCATGAAGAGCCCTTCTTCTGCCTCTGTATCTTGTTTCCTGAGCCCATTTCTCCTACAGCTCACTTCTACCTCTGTGATTTTCTTAATAAACTTTCTCTTACAATTTGAAGGGGAAAAAAATTAAATTCAACACATCTATCTGGGATTCAGTTTCTTGTTTAAAAAAAAAATAAGGTATTAGACGTGCTGTGATACTTTAACCCATTTTAAAATGAACAACTTTTATGATTTATTTCAGACAAAACATATCCCAAGATAACCCCCTTAAGGATATATTTTACTTACATTCTTCCTACACCTTCATACATGTTAGTCTCGTCTACCAAAGTCATAATCTCTGTATCTGTAAGATGGGCATGCTTTTTCGTTCTGTTTAGCTGTTCAATCTGTATATCTGCAAGCTTCACCTTCTGTTGAGTGTCAATAACTTTAGCTTGAAGCTCTGTGAAGGCCTAATAAAAACAAGTCCTTGATTTAGTAGGTGAAATATTTTATAGGAAACATTTAAGTCAAATCCAAATACATTAAAATAAAGCATGCTAACCAGAGGCAAAGCTGTGAAATTTACTAAACCAAACATCAATAAAAGTTAGTATAATTGTAATCAATCAAGCCACTAGGCTAACTACTGAATTTACCCTGTCCTCAGAATATGGAATCATTTTGAAGAAGCAGAAATGAATGCACATTAAATAATAGCCATATCAAGCAGCAGGTGCTCAAGGAGTAATAAAAGTAACAAATGTAACAGTCAGAGGATGAAACCCAGAGATCCAAAACAAGAACCATAAAGGGAACACCAACTCTCTACATTTGTATTACTCAACTAGGTTTCAAAGCACTTTCCCACAACTGTTTCAAATACTAATATAGGTATCTTAATAAAATGAGAACACTGAGGGATATAATAAGTATCTCATTTACTCCTCTCAAATCTTATGAGTTAGGGTGGCAGTTTCATCATAACAGTTTATAAATTAAGTAAATGTGATAAAGAGAGTTAAGTGGCTTGCACAGGGTTGAACAACTATCGGGAGGAAAGGCAGGTACTTAAATCCATTTCTTGTATTGTCTACAGTAATATCCAGAATATAAATATTTTTAAGAGAAGAAAAAAACACATTAGTATTAGAATTGCATCATGATCTTCATATGCATAGACAAAGCCAAATTTGACTCTTCTGTACACTTAACTCAAAGATAAACACAGTTCGTGAATACTCTTAAGTGCCTGGAATGATTGTCACATGCTGTCAAATTTATGCCTTAATATTTGTGACTGCAATACATGGCAAAGGCTACTACTTAACTTTTATTCTGACTTCTCACCTTCTAGTAAGGTTTCAAAATATTTGGGAGGAAGGGAGGAGCCTGAAATTTCCTAATAGTCTGCAGGCAAAAATAATATTAATAATAATAATTTATATTAGAAGTCAAAATTTTTAAACAAGTTTAATTTAATTGTCAAAACTATCCAACTTAAGGCTGAAATCATTTTCTTAGTTTGCATTCATTGCCCACAGGTTTCTTAGCAACAAATTTAAATACTGGGAGGTGAGTCCATTCACAGCTGTATGCTATTGTTAGCTCTTTTACTAAACCCTGACTTAAATTTGAACCTTTAACACAGTGGTTCTCAACCTTGGCTGCACATTAGAATCACCTGGGAATCTTTTTAAAATCCTGATTTCTGGGCCTCATCCTCCGGAAATTCTGTTTCTTTGTTATGGTGTAGGATGAGGCCCAGAAATCAGGATTTTAAAAAGATTCCCAGGTGATTCTAATGTGCAGCCAAGGTTGAGAACCACTGCTTTAATAGAATAAAAAAGGGAAACTTTTAGAATGCTTTAAGCATTCTTAAAATGAATTTTGGTTTGCATGCAAAATTACAGGTACTACCTGACTGTTCGGTACACAGTTTGCTAAGGAAACTGGTGTGTTGTTAAAGCTGAGATACTACAGCGTGAGAGAACACCACCTAAGGGCCAAATTTACAGGTTTCAAAACAAGAATGACAAAAAGTAAGATACACGCATAAATCCTCACAGCAGTAACAACTTCAATGTTTAGGATCTACAGCTATTTCAGCTGTCCTATTGCTTATGCACAGACTGACCAGAAGGCAGTCTTTAGTAAAATGTGTTCTCCTCAAGAACCTAAACTAATAGCCAAAAGGTGTGGAGTAAGGCAGGGGATACTGGATTCGACCCCCACCTTTGACTGGGTCTTTTCTGGAACTCCGTTTCCTTTTCTAGAAAAGGACAGGTTCAAAGTAGATGAAGCCTAGGATTCTTTTCCATCCCCGTCCCCCTCCGATCTCCCTCCCACCCCCAAAAAATATGATTTGGGGTCAGTAGAGATGTTAGAATCCTGACAACTGGTGGTGAAAACGTTTCTGAATGACAACACACTTATAAGCAATTGAAGAGATAAACCTAATTTCTTCCGATATCAATTTTATTTAGAAAACTTCACGGGACTTGTTTCTTTCTTCGACAACTCCTGCAAAAACGGCGGCGGGTGAGGGGAGGGGGGCCACAGCCCTGAGATGAGCATTGCTATGAGCATATCTAACTCTGAACTGTAGCGCGACCTTCCCAAGTTTGGGGTGGAACAAGAGGCCGAAAAGCAAGGCCGGAACAAGGGACGACAGGACAAGCCCGTTATGCGCCCACCAGACTCAACCAAACCCACCCAGCCGGCTCTTCCCCAGCAAAAGCCGCTCGCCCCCCACTTCAACCTCAGGAGACCCGCTCCCGTTTTAGGATCCCGGGATATCACCCCCCAGCTCCCTAGGGCCTCTCTCCTTCCTCAAGACTCGAGTCCACAGGTCCCTCGGCGACCAAAGAGGAGCCTCGGCCTCCTCCACATGCTTCCTTACCTTCTTCAACTCCAGATCCACGGGGGCCGCCATCTTGGCTCCCTCTCCGCGCCTGCGCAGTGGAGAAAGCGGAAAGTGTGTGGGGGAAGGGCGCGCTTTGGAGATTTGACTCTTCCGTCCTTCCTTCTGCGCCTGCGCCGCAGGAGGGGGGCTAGTCAGCTTCTTTCTTCCCCGCTAGTAACTCTTTTTTTCTTGTTCTTTTTAAATATATTTTATTGATTCTTTACAGAGAGGAAGGGAGAGGGATAGAGAATTAGAAACATAGATCAGCTGCATCCTGCACACTCCCCACTGGGAAGTGCCCGCAACCAAGGTACATGCCCTTGACCGTAATCGAACCTGGGACCCTTGAGTCCACAGGCCGAGGCTCTATCCACTGAGCCAAACCGGCCAGGGCCCCGCTAGTAACTCTTGAAAGATCCCAGGTTACGATTCAGTCTGCGGACCCCATGTGATCATTCAGGCCTGGCCTACTTCTCCACATCCTTCCAGACACAACACTACTCGCAGATTTCGTGTATGGTTTTAAGCATTTTAACAAATTGCTTGGTTTGTGCTACTAAATTGAGATGTATTAGATCAGGCCAAACCTCTTTAGTCATTCAGCTAGTCCCTGTGCTATCAGGGATGAGAGAGAGAAAAAAAAAAAATCAGCCTGAGCCTCAGGTATGCCAGTGTGGAGAAGACCAGAATGCTACTGAAGAGTCCTTCCAAAGAACTTATATCTCCTGAACTCTCCTGAAGACCTTTTGGCACAGTGGTTCTCAAGAGAGGCCAAGTAAGTTTGTTTAAATATATATACATATTCATTCTCTGGTCATTATCCGAAATTTATTTACTTAGAATCTTTGAGTTTGGGGTCCAAGTTCTCACACTTTTGCAAACAGCCTTTATGACCTGATGCCAGTCATCTGCAGACCACATTTTGAGAATTTGCTGTATACGGGCAAATTTGAACAAGAAGGATGGATGGAAATTGGACTTTTGAAAATGGAAGAAATGGATGTTTTACCTACTCTAAAAACTTGTGAGGGAGGGTAAAGGACAGAAATTTGGAACCAGCCAGATCTGGATTGAAGGTTTGGTCTACCTTAACCATAGGTCTGTCTGGTTCCATTTACTGTGTGGCAGTAGAGTTTTTCTTCTCTTTTAATTTTAGAATGACAATATTGACCTAACACGGTTATCACCTGAGGTTTTTTGGCTGTGAATTCTTCCATTTGGGAGCATTTGCTGGTCTTTCTTGTGACAGTTGATTTTCATATGACATAAGTTTTTGTCTAAAAACCTATCCTCAATGTCTGTCATGTCCTGAGCTGTGTAAACATCCCTAAGGGTAGGTTCACATTCACTTCTACCAAAGCCCTATGAGATTCATGGTTCTTACGTTAATTCTTGACAACACATGAGTGAAGCATGTTTGGGGGAAAATAAAACTTTCTCTGACCATAAAGTTGGTGGAATGTGATATACATTTATGGACTGGAAGCCACTGTATTATTTTTCCATATCTCCTTTTCATTTAGATCTTCAAAATAAAGTTATTTCCTTTCTCTCTTTCTCTAGAGCAGCGGTTCTCAACCTGTGGGTCGCGACCCCTTTGGGGGTCGAATGACCCTTTCACAGGGGTCGCCTAAATACATCCTGCATATCAGATATTTACATTACGATTCATAACAGTAGCAAAATTACAGTTATGAAGTAGCAATGAAAATAATTTTATGGTTGGGAGTCACCACAACATCAGGAACTGTATTAAAGGGTCGAGGCATTAGGAAGGTTGAGAACCACTGCTCTAGAGCTTCTAAAAGATTATCAGGAAAAGATTATCTATGAAAGCCTTGCAGTAGTACTTGGACACTTGCCTAGAGAACAACCAGAATGTGCTAGCTTCTATTATTTCATAGAAAAAAACAGACTTCACACTGAAGGCTTCTCTAATATATATATACTACTTCTGAGGTTTAATAAGCTATGAAAATTTAGAAAGGTGATCTATTATCCCTCAGTTCTGCCTTACCCATGCTAACTACATTTATTTTTCCTTCAACAAATATTTTTTAACATATGTTAGGCACCATTCTTCCTTCTCTCCCCACAGAAAATAAAATAACATATGTTAGGCACTGATCTAGACCTTTGGGGTATAACAGTAGCAAGAGACAAACTCCCTGACCTCATGGGGCACATATTCCAG